AACATAGATCCAGACACGATGTGTATTAAAACCAGTTCAGTACTGTCACTTTCTGTCAGACACAAAGGTTGATCAAATACTACTTTGATCAAATAACAAACTTGTTCTCATATTTCTGTCCTTCGAGGAATAACATATCAACGAATCGAATCTATTTTTACGCCCGGATTAATACATGTTTATTTTCTTTGGAGTTATAATATCGTATTACTGTATGACCAAAGATGGCAATGTTGCCATTCCTATTTTGTGTTTTCCACATAGTTTTAGAATTTTTATGCACGATTTCAATATTGTCTATTAATTATTACGGAAAACTTCAATGAGATCTGTCAATCTGTATGAGGCTAGTTAAACACGAACTTGATGCATGATCTGATTATAATCTGTCAGATGCTCTTGTGCAAACATAAAGATTCCACTTGAGCATAAAGGTGATGTTTTTATTTAGATATCAACCTGGGTCCTTGCATATTATTTTTTCGATGACTAAAAGTCTAAAATAGAAGGTCCTCGACTCCTCGTTCATTATATTCCGTGCAGATCGTTCGAATTATGCAGACCAGGCGGTTATACAATATATAATAGCCTGATTTTAACATGATATAAATATAATCTCATTTTCATGATGAGTTTTGTGACGTCAAATAAAAATGTTGAGAGACGGCGTTTTCCGTTCTCTACAGACGTCTTTGTCCGAGCTCTTACTATAATGATGTAAGCTTATCTCCGGTTTGCCAAACAACTCGTGTTTAGTTTTGCCTTTTAGTTATAAATTTACTATCGGTAGGAATAATGCATTTACAGTTGTTTTTTTTCCGACTCTAAAATGAGTTTTTTTTTTACAAAAGAAACGTGATTTATTCTTGGCAGAAAACACTAAAATCCAGTCTCCCCATTGGAGCGCGCGGTCACAACACTCGATCGGCGTGTTTATTTTGGTATTATCAAAATTATATTGCTTTGAACAAAACTCGTGTAGGTTTTGCGTAGCAAGCACCTGGAAACGCCAGACTTATTTAAAAACATTAAAACGTTTTGTTAAAGCTTAACAGGATTGGAATTTTTGCGAGCGTTGCTTGAATTAAGGACACGCCTCGGTCGGTCGGAAGGAAATAGGATTCATAGCTTTAATATACAAGCGGATGATATTTTGTCCGCGATTTGATACCGATCGATAACAGTCGACGTTTGGCGAGGAATTTCGTATGTAGGATTTTCAAACAGTCGAGTAGATCTGGGCTCGATTTTCGTCGACTATAATCAGTTAAAGGGATTTTATTATTTTATTGAGACATTAATTTGGCAGTGGATTTGCTACATCGATTGATTTGGCTGAAGATTTTTTTGTGAGTCGCTTGACCAGACTTGAAAAGCAGCTGATTTTCAAGACAAAAGCGGGGCCTTCCTGTCCCATATTTGCCATCCCGAATAACTGCAAGTCATTGCAAGAACGACAATGAATGTAAACGCTTTACATGTGCGATACGACAAGAACGTGTAACATTAGAATTAAAGATAGAATTTGGTCGTCAATAAGGCTGTCCGCCAAAGGTATGTCGGAGTAAATTTAATTTGAAAGATTTCACTGCCCCACCGAGTACAATGTAAACAGGAATAGACGGCTTTAAAACACTCACATATGAAATAAAGCTTTTTACCTCGCTAGCGTACAAAATGTTGGGAATTCGGCCAATATTCTTGTACAAAAATGAATGCACAATTTGGCCGAATACAGCGTTGAATGTTTTGGTGACATATAAGGCGCTAAATGGTCATAATTTTAATTCGTGTTGGGTTAAATCGTCTGTACTATAAACCCGTTTACAGTAAATACAGTTCAGTTATGATTATCTAGCCCGCAATGACACAGCGCAAAGTTTCAGACAATGCAAAATAGAGAGTACAAGTTATTTGTTTAATATTTTGAATAATGGCATTGTAAACTACACTGAACCTTGTCTAGCCCCTGTGGCGAAACTCACGCCAGATCACTCAACGATTAAGACTTGTAATAATATAATTTCACCCCTTGTAAATAACCCAAAGAAAATCCCAAAATTTTATCGGCCGTAATACGCAAATGCTCGCGAATTTCGCTTTGTGATTATGCAGCAGACCGCCTTAATTTTTGTTATTGCATGTTTAAAATTCACCTAATTGTTTCCCCGCTGCATGGCGTATAAACCAAAGCCAGATTTACGTATTTTGTTGAGAAAAAAACAGCCGGCTTTTTCCGTTCGCGCCGAGCTTAGTTTTATATTTAAAAAACACAGCGAAAGTGTATTCGCTATAAAGAAATGTCTAATGTTTACAAATGCACGCCAAAGAGTCCAATATGTTACATAATTTGTTCTTTGCGCTGTTAAATATTTGCGTTGAATGTTCTCAAAACCAAACAAAAAGCTTTATTAAAATATTTTCGAACGAAAGAAAGAGGACAGTGCGTTGTTGGTAAACTGTGTTAATATATTGCTACGGTTTATAAGTGTGTATGATATGACACGCGAGCTCGCACGCTGAGCTGGCTTTAAAATGTTTGTACAAAGAGCAAATTAATCCCATAAAACCAAACGTATTATTATAAATATAAATTACATTCTTGATGGACTTTTCGGCTAAATGAAGTTTAAGTTCTAAAGCGAAAAAATAGGAAAACGCGTTCCTTTATGTTGAAAAATATATTGTGCATGATAAAATTCTTCGCATATATCCATGAAATATTAACAGTATGGCTATAGTATTCGAATGAAACATGAATAAAAATATTATTGGTAATTATAGCATTCCAAGCCAAAATTATCGTTTTTCCTAGAAAAATATTTTTCAAACTTTTTGTTTTTATTGTATTAAGTATGCGAAGAGTGTGTGTTTATTTATAAAATTCATAAAGTCTGATTAGAATTAAAAACAAAGCTTGTGTTATGAAGTGTATAACTTTCCACACCTGTGTGTATTTGCCATATTTGGAATATTTAGTTGCAAAAATACATATTTGTAACATTCAAACGAATAACAAAGTCATGCATAGGGAAATAGAATATCAAATATTCACAGTAAATACCCAGAATTGTCCAGGGTAATATGATACCATTTGTTTATACTTTATAGTAAAAAATCGACACTCCATCTTAATGCTGATCCTCGCAAACTTCAGCTGCACCTGCGGCAATTAAACCATCGATGGCAATGTTTTGCCAGTGGTTTAAATATCAAACATCAACTATTAAATATGTCTGATACATCAATATTTCAGGTTTCAAATTATCCATTTTTATTACCATTCGCCTTCAAATTAATTGTCATTATAGGACAAAAAATTGCTGCAAAACTGTAAAATATCTACGGCAATATTTTGTCTACAAATCGTTTGTTGAAATTGCGGGACTATCTTGCATTTCCACTCTGTTGTAGAGCCAGGAAAATACATGTATTCTTAGTAAAAAAACCTAGCTATCACAGTAAAAATCATTATGGTTTTGAAATTCCATTTGATCGAGGGTGCATATGACCAGGTCCATGTTAATTAACATGCATGGCCTATGTAATACAGTATCGGTCAGCCTAAAAGGGGGGCCCAAAGCAAAGAATGCCCAATGCAAGATTTCTTAAATGAAAACATAACTCCCAGCTGCGTTAGTGCCAGATAATATCCAATAAAGTTGAAATATTGTCAAAACACTAGACTTGCCCAAATCGCTCGCCTAAGGGACCGCACATAGCAAGAAGGGAGCGCTTGAGAAAGATGGAAGCGAGCGACTTGTGTCACTTGCCTGATTTTGAATCTTACTGAAAAATTTGGTGCGAAAATCAATTATGACATAGTGGACGTTCACCATGTCGATTTCACTAGTTCATTATTGTTTTGTTCATAATAATAATGAGCATTCACTGACGTCACCGGAGCAAAAATGCACCGGTGAATTTGGCATGCTTGCAGGTGACAAAAGTCCGTCGCTTCCAGGAACCACGAACCGCGGACTTTGGAAAATCTATCAAAACACCTCTTCTCCATTTTACAATTATGACATCATAGAGTTTTAACTGGGGGGGTGGACACGAGCCCCGCACAACCTCTAAGCAGCCCTGAGTGTCAATATATTTAATAATTCACTCAGTCTAAGCTGATTTGCATACAATGCTCACAAAAGACAAGATATAGTTCTGAAGAACCTTTGCTTCAAACATCAAAGTTTGTCCTTATTTTTGAGGTTAGTTGCATCACACACACACACACAATTTGCAAATTGTGTTTAATTAAATCACAGCCTACACTACTGCATGGCACCCTACATTCAAGACAGCTCCAGACTATATCACATCAGTGACAATGACTTAATGATCTTGATACCTGCAATCAAATGGAAAATAGACTTTAAATATAGCTTGTATACATATCCATTCCATGCAATTAATGATCGTACTTTAACTAATTACCATGATTAGATAATAACCAAGTTACAGATACCAATATTAATGCAATGGTCTGGATATTGTCTTTGTGTTTTGGTATTGTATGCAAATCAGTCATCACAATTTTCAAGAGCATATATTGACACTCTTAGCTAATTTGGCCACCTGATGATGCAACTACGGCAACAAATTGAAAACTGCACTTTGCAGGAACTAAAGTATACACTGCACACTCAGTATCTTAACAAAATTATTGTGACTGCTAATTTACAGTGCTAATTATTTCATAGTCTGCATTATTATAATTATAATGTAATTTACTTAAAGCAATTGTACTAAAGTCATTGAACCAAGACCAACCTATCATTATTTTTTCTCTTGATATTTGGAGATTAAACTGATCCCAGAATTCAGAATCAATGAATTGTTCATGCTCAAATTACTATATATACCCAGAATGTTACGTTCTTTGGACATGCAGTTGGTTGAAAGTTATAAAGCTTTGCAAATTTCTGTATAAATATTGAAATATCACTGTGTTCAAATTATTCCAACTTTTGGTAAATTATTTTTGTTATAGTTGAGTAATGGGATGTCCAATGAGCAAAAGAGTTCAGACATCGTCTGAGACAAGCGCAAGTCCTGTTCAAACTACTCACAGTTCAGCCAGTACTCCAGGTAAAACTTAATAAATTTGAATAAATTTTTTGAAAAAACTAAAGTTAATACAGAGACCTTAAATTTTCAATCTATTGGATTTGAGTTGCATTGCACACTGATGCGGCACCTAGAAGTTACCAGCAACAACCCTATAATTGTCTGGAGATTGCTATATTGTAAAAGAGTGACCCAACTACTGACCAATGGTGCTTGCTTGAAATTAAGATTTAAAAACTGCTCAAAACATCAAAATGCTTTTAATATTTTTAGTTGCATGGCAGCCGAGCTAAGGTCAGACCTTATTTAAAGAACAAATCCTTAAGCGTATATAATTATTTTAAATTAAATCCCTTCCTGACTACTATATAAATGTCACCTAGCTGTCTGTTTCATTATTAACTGGCTAACCATTTTCTTTGCATTTTACATGTTTTGAGTTTAAGTTGAATACAGTGTAATAGAATTGACAAAAGTTATTGTACATTTCGTCTGCATGTCACGATCAGTACTTGGAGACGCAATTCTTTCACGGTCCATTATTAGTTGTTATAAGACTTTTTTTAAATTTTACAACATCCTCGTTAGTCTTATTAGACCACCCATTAAGATAATTCTGAGTGACACCATTTGTTGGATAATTGTCATTGTTGAGTTTTAATTTCTAATAAAATAAAATGTCTGAACCCCTAATTATTATATTGGGTAATCTAGCTATATCCTCAGGACTTCCTTAATTAATTAACAACTTAGCAAAATTTCTTGCCATGGTAATAGACAGTGTAATTACCAGACAACTTACACTTTCTGTTACATAATTTAGTTGTCAAGGGAAGAATCTTAGATTCATGCATATTTTGAGCTTCTTCAGCTCGATAGAACTAATTATCACAGTACGTGCTACCTCTCTCCTCCGCAGAGGCTTTAGTTTTCTTAGGATTTAATATTACGATGAGATACATTTCACTACACTTTACATGGCGGATCTTGGAACACGAGCGTAGCCGCTGGGCGAAGAGACGTGCTACTAGATGGGTTTTTAGTAGCTGGAATTCTTAAATGAAAATTGCAATGAAAATACAATTTTAGACCTATTAAAATTAAACTGGGTGTGTAATCTAACTAAATGTGCATTGCTGGGCTGCAGGTTTGATTCCTGTCAAACAGGCTTAAAATTTGTATTTTTTACAGCTGGTCCCGGGTCCCGGTTTGGTCTAAGATTGTATATAAATTTTCGTTCAAAAATTCCGAATTGGCTGCTGACACCTTTGCCTGAAGGGTAAAATTATGTGGCATAATTAGGCTGACCAAAAATGAAAGAAGGCCCATATAGTTTAACTAATATGGGTGTACAAGTTAAGTCTTGTTTGATTGAAATTGACAAACACTCTCCCCTCAAGGAAAGTGACAAAGTAGGGTCATAAGGAAAGCATTTATATTGTTTAAGTGTAATCCCCTTTGATGTAGGGATCTGCCCACGGTGGGCAGGGCCAGACAGCAGTTCTCAAGCTGACTTCTTCGCCAGGCACTTGAATTTTGAAAGATTTCCAAAATGTACAGTACTGAGGCCCATTCCACTCAAGAAAATTTTCTGAAAATATCATTGTTAAAAGTTGAAAATTTTCAACCTCAAAATTTAAAAAATTTTCAACCTTAAAATTTTTTTCCAACGGAAAATTTGTGTTGGCAAATCACATTTTACAAAATTTTCTTTCTGCAGGAAATTGGGTTAATATGCCTGTGTGTCTACTTATACCCACTAAATTGCACTGCACCTCAATGTCTCCTGCTGGCTTAATTAATACTTCATTCTGTCCAATGCCAGATGATTTTACTTACCTATTGAGTGTCAGTCAGCAGTATGTCTCCCCAAGTAAAACCCTCTTGCAGTGAAATAATAAAATACTAGCATAAAAACAATTGTTACGCCGGCCAGTAATACACTTTCACTTGTTCAGATTGGACAATTTTTAGGAAAATATTGGTTGAATGGGTCAGGGGCCGTATGGGGTAGCATTCAGGACCAAAGGTACCTCAGCCACTCACATGGTCCTGGGCAGATTCCTGTATATAAATTAACTTTTGAACTAACATTGGCGCCATATATATCATTACCATCTAATTTAGAGAGTGTATTGCATTTTGTTTTATCATTCTCATTCTATTTTGTGGCAGATGAAAATAGCAATGGTGTTCAGAGGCAACTGCAGATCAGACGACCACTGTCAAATTATGATAACTGCAGCAATAATGGAGTAAAGCATGTCGGAAATATTCCTGGACAAATAAATGTAAGCAGGGCCGTAGGAAGCTCTTTTCGATTGGGGGGGGGGGGG